GCTATAGCTTATGGTTCCAGGTCACCTTTAATCTTCATCAGAGGTAACATGAATGCGCAGCGTTATATCCAAGAAGTTCAGGAACCCCATCTTTTACCCTATCTTGACACCCTGGCAGATCCAACTTTCCAACAAGATAATGCCCGACCACATGTTGCAAGAGTCACAATAGACTTCTTTCAACATAATGATGTCACATTGTTACCATGGCCACCAAGATCTCCCGACTTATCCCCGATTGAGCACGTGTGGGATATGATGGGTAGGAGATTGCTCAATTTTGCAAGGTCCTCCTCAGACTCTAGAAGCACTTCGAGAGGAGTTGGTGGTTGCCTGGAATGAGATACCACAGGAGGACATTGACCACCTGATCAGAAGCATGCCTTGGCGCGTTGGAGAATGCGTAGCACATCAGGGTGCATCCACACATTATTAAAGGTCAAAGGGCTTTAAAGCAGTGCAATCATTTTGAAATTTTGATCATTTACTTATTATGCTTCATTAAGTACTTATACAAAGTTTTATTAAAATAGAACCATTTAAACTGGGTGTTCGGATTTATATGTCACTTAGTATACATAGTTTGGAGATTTGTCTAATGCTAGAATTTTTGGCTAGATGCCGGAATTGGTAGTTCATGTAAAGATGTATGTGACAACGGCAAGGATAAGATCATAAATACGTATTGATGCGTTATTGGTCCAAAGCTATTCAAGTGTCTGCTTTGGAAGTCCACAAGCTGCTTCATCCTAAATAGGTGAGAATAAGTTGCCGTGTAAATTTATAAATACCCAGCTTTCGTCAAAAGAGTTATAGCTTGTCGTTTTATCTGATTCTTCGGACATATTCCCTCCATATCGTTCTTCCCATACCTGGTTTCTTACTTATGTGTATAGTGAGCATGAAATTCGCGAGAGTCTTTACTTTTTAGATAATCTTCTTCTGAAACGGATCAGTAAACTTAATATGTCTGGGTTTTAGAGGTATCGGGAGGAATATCACTTTTCAGTGCGACAAATTTTACAGTCATTACATTTTAGTCTAATAACGCTAACATAATACTGACATATTGATGAACTTGGATGACCACTGGGACAAAAAAATAGTCATTATGGATAGGGATCGTAAAGCCAAGCGAAAGCCGAAGCGCAGGTTGAAACAGGTGACACACGGTGTCACAGTAAATAGCAAATTCGAATGTGGGGTGATTTATTATTTAAAAACTTATTCACTGTAAAATTTAAAAGGCCGGCAGTAGACATATCCGCGTAGTGGATCCACTTATACATCTTTTCAGTTTAGACGAGCATTGAATTAGCCATATATGTAACTCCTGAAACTTATCCTGTGGTTTTCAAGTTCTTTTCACTCCATTGTTTGGCCGAATCAAACCACATATATGTTTTAATTTCTTTTTATTGTATGCAGTTTTGGTCACCATGGTGACTATCGCTGAATATCTCTTACGGTCATAATTTTGTTATTTCAGGGCATACGCTCATCTGCAACTTCTTCATACAGAAGAAATTTCTGACCAGAACGTCCGACGGATATACAACTAATTATGTTCCAAAAATGTGATAGCCTTCGAAATTTTATAATAGTGAGAGATGTAGATTAAGAAGTCACAAACAGGTTAATACATGGGTAGTGTTTGATTTGTGATAAGTAAATAAGTGAAAAAATTAGTATCCTACCTAATGTGCAGGAACATAAGCAGAGCAGTAGGTTATTCATGGGTGGCGGCGATGCATCGGTGCGTCGCGTGCCGTCGGCGGCGATTTTCTCGATCAAGTGGCGTCGTCGGGACGGCAGCGACGGCGACACAGAGACGGATCCGGGTCGATAGACGACGGACGGCACACTGACTGAACCCCACTCCGGTGAGTGGGTGCATGCGAAAAGCGCCGCGACGCCTCCGGGTGGACGCCGGTCGGACG